GAGGTCCTTGGTTGCAAGTGGCTCTCTAACCTCCTTTTTGAATCTATCAAGCTTTGGACCCATCTTACCCAGCTTAAATGTGTCATTAGGAGGGCTAATACTGTTGCAAAAGTATCCCTCCCACCCCCACTATTTATATTTATATGAATAAATATGATGCAATTGTATAATTGCGTCCTATAATCTTTTAATGAGCAGTATTGTGTCTCATGTATTGTATTGTCTGTTATGTAATATCAATTAACTGAAGCTGTGTTCTTGAAAGTTTAATAGTTTGGAGTTGTGTTTCTACTTGCTTTCATTTGTGGTTGAAGTGTCTACACAGGCTATTGTGTGCTGACCATACCTTTATACAATTTGCAGGTGTTTTTATTTCAAAAGGCTGCTGTTTACAAGTGCAACATGGCTGGAAAACCTGCAGTGGTAACTCGTGTTGTTGACAGTATGACTGGCAATCTTAGACCAACTCGTGCAGAAGCAACTGATGTTGCCAATGCTGTATTGGATGGTGAGTTACTTTTCTGAGCGAAAGAGTTAGTCCTTCAGGAGCTGCTCATTGAGATCCTTCTTGATATTATTGGATTTGCATATCATTATAATCTTACTGGTATAGGGTATTCTTGTTATTTGACTGTTGGTTTGAGATTCTTTCTAAAACTTTCCTTTATAATAGGTTTATCATTTGAGAGGTCTTTGTCGCGTATTTTTGACAATGATGATGTGCAAAATCTGGGACCTTATTTTTCTTTCTTATCTGAATCTTAATGGATGCAGGAAGTGATGGGATTCTTCTTGGTGCTGAGACATTACGTGGATTGTACCCTGTTGAGGCAATTTCAATTGTTGGTAAAATTTGTGCAGAGGTATATTAGCTCAACATTTCTATAAAATTTCTGTTGCTTGATGAACTTTGTTAAGTGCTAGCTGCTACAACAGTTATCATTGTGATTTTTTTGTTATGCCTTGTTACATGTCATTGTTCTTAATAATGAGTTTGACTTCCTTAAAATGTCGTGGGAGGAAAATATATCAATAATTCATGCTTTATAATAGGAACTTAGCATATTTCTTCCTTTGGCTTTCCATCATTCTACATTTTGTTGGGTTTGTACTGGCATATGGTTCAAGGGGATATATTTAATGCTCTGACACTTGGGATGCCACTAATGTATTACATAATTCTTGGTTTTCTTCGCTTCAGTGTGTGCCTTATCATTCTGTTGGCAATTTACTTGATTTCAAAATTGCCATGCAGGCAGAGAAGGTTTTCAACCAAGACCTGTATTTTAAGAAGACTGTCAAATATGTTGGAGAACCAATGACCCACCTAGAATCCATTGCTTCTTCTGCGGTAATTTTTTTAGGTTGTTTCTTTTGTATTTTTTTTTTTCTCCTCCCCTAATGACTTTGCCTTTACGTTAGTTATTATGAATTTAGTTTGCTTAATGGTGCAAAATGAGTTCCTCAGAGGCTATTCACTTCTTATTTAGGTACGGGCTGCCATTAAGGTGAAGGCATCTGTTATTATTTGCTTCACCTCTTCTGGAAGGGCTGCAAGGTATTTTATAAATCCTTAATGGTGAAGGCATCTGTTTTTAGTATATCTGTTTACTTTCAAATTCTTTTTTATCTTGGCCTTTTTAATCCATATATATAACTTTTCCACATTCAATAATCTCCACAAGACTCAAACTAGATTACAAATGTGTGTAGATTAATTGCGAAGTATAGGCCAACAATGCCAGTTCTATCAGTGGTCATTCCCCGTCTCAAAACAAATCAACTAAAGTGGAGTTTTAGTGGTGCATTTGAGGTATGCTCAACTCTTTCATTTAGGATTTCTTTATTTCTTGATTTCTGCACAAATTTTTCGAGTTTCTTTTTCGTTTTCTTCTTTCTCTTCCTTTCTGGCAACTCGCACTCAACCTGATGAATCTGTGCTATTTTCCCTCTTACTGTGAATGATTAGGCAAGGCAGTCACTGTTAGTCAGAGGTCTTTTCCCCATGCTTGCTGATCCCCGACATCCTGTAAGTTCTTGCTTTGCATATAAAATTGTTGTTTATGCTGCCTTCTGAGTGATGAATTTTTGCCTAAATGAAGAAAGTTTTCCCAATTTTAGCAAATTTTTAGTTCTTTTTTATTCTAGCTGTATAAGAAATAACTTAAACAAATGATGTACTGAACCTTTTGATGGACTAAAAATTAAGTTTGTTATATAGTTAATTTTCATCAAGTAGGTTTATCAACTGTGTGTTTTACCTACTTGACTTTGTAGGCTGAGTCTACAAATGCAACAAATGAGTCAGTTTTAAAGGTTGCACTCGATCATGGGAGGGCCTCGGGAGTCGTAAAGTCACATGACCGAGTTGTTATTTGCCAGAAAGTTGGGGATGCATCTGTGATCAAGATTATAGAGCTCGAAGATTAGAACACTTCACTTTTCCTCATTTTTGGAAGTATATGGGGACTTTGTTGCATGTTCATAATCGTCTATGGGGTGAATGATATGGAATTAGACTTTAACCATTATGAGGTTCAAATCTGAGTTTTTTTTGAGGACTAAAATCTTGAGTTTTTGAAAGCATGTTTGATTTCACATATAATAGTAATGTACACTGGGCAAGTCCTATTTATTGAAATTGTAGTGATGAGAATTGTGCCCTGTGACTCGCGGTTATGTTCAACCTTCAAATGAAAACTACATGTTTTATGCTCAATGATAAATGTTAAAATGGGATTCTTTGGGCTTTGCAAGTAAGAACATGTTTCTCGTGATATTCCATTTTTTTTCTTGAAAAATTCTTGGGACTCCTTTTTTTTAGAAACTCTCACAACCTCTTTTGGATCTCAATTATTGATGTATGTGTAGGATCTACTCATATATGTGTGAAGCCCATACCATCAATGGTTGAGATTCAAAGAGGGTTATGGGAGTCTCCAAAAAAAGAGGTCTCAATCATTGTTGGATTATTAAACTACATTGTTGGACTCAAGCCTGACCAAAGTTAAAATTATTCCTTGGATGGTGGGTTAGAGGGAAGCTTTTGATAGACTTTGGCCTTGTTTGTCAAAAAAATCACTATTCTATTTAAGTCACATCATCTTTTTATCACATCACTTCAAATTCAATCCATACTCAACTTATATTTTTTAAAAAGTTAAAAAGTCCACTTATTTAGATCATTTCAAACAATTTCTTTGTGTAATTAGTGTTTATTTAACTGTCATTAAAAAGTCAGTTTATTAACTTCAACAAGTCTAGTTTGTTAAATATTATTTTTTTTTATGAAAAAACCCCTTGAGCTATTCTTGAAAGGTATTGAAAAAATTTAGAAATTACTTAAATATTGACTTGTGATTATATATTAATTTTAAGTAGTAGATAACAATCTCAATTAAACAATTAAGATAAATTGATACAACGATTTTAATGTGGAAAAATCACAATTAGAGCGTCTTCAATTGTGATAAAAAATCACGAGCTAAAAGTCACAAAACAATTCACTAAAAAGACAAAGAATTACACAAGTGTACTCTTAATTATTTAGCAAATTCACATCTGAATTGAATCGATCCCTATATGCCTCTTCCACCACGGTTTTCAACCATGGTCTTCACCTTGGAATTGTTTTGTCCAACGTTGAATCTACAACGTCAATGTCGAATTCACGACGCTGAATCACTTCAAAATCCACCAAAGCTTCAGGTCCAAATTTTACGGAATCTACCGAAGAACAACTCTCTCTTTTGTATTGAATAAATAAAACAAACAAATCCTTTGATATAATCCACTCAATTCATAATTAAACTCTCACAGATATCATAGGAAACAAGTAAAAAGCTTCAGATGAAAATTCTAATACCTCAGAAGAAGATCTGGAAGCCATACCCTAAAATCGGACTGAAACACTTATTTATAGAAAAAAGATCGACAATCTCTGCTCGAGCGAAAAAAAAACTCTGTACTTTTGTAGGCGAGTGAAACCTTTGAAAGGTCGTGATCTCCGCTTGAGTGCAGGATGGCTGCTCGAGCAGACAAACAACTTTGACTACAATTTTGCTTTTTACTTCAGGGGCGCTATCCGTCGACTCTGCCTAGGCACTGCCCCGGACCCGCCAAGGAGTGCTGCCCCCTAGACCCCCGTGAGCTGACCAGGCAGCTCAATCCCTGACATAGTCAGTGAAGTGGCAAACATAAAAAAATTAACTTCTGAAACATCTTTGCAAGACACAATTCGGGTTGGATTCACATCTAAAAACTCATAGCCTCATTAAAATAAAAGTTGAACAAAATTACAACTGAAAAGAATTTTGTCAAATGGGATTATCAAGACAAGTTTTAAAAAAAAAAGTTGTCAAACAATTAAGGTTGCGTTTGGTAGAGTTTTCTAAATATGATTTGAGAGTAGGAGTTGTATTTTGAGTTCGTGAGTTTTGAAATTATGATTTGAGTGTAGAAAATTTGTTTGGTTATGATTTTTGAATAGAGTGTTGAATTGAGTTTTGAATTGTATGTGGAATTGAGTTTTGAAAGTTTGATGTGATATGTGAAATAAGAAAATTTGTTTGGTGATGAGTTTTCAAAATAGTTTTCAAAACTTAATTCAACCTATAATTGATAATCAAACACACAACTCACAACTCGATATCCGTATTTTTGATCAACAGTCATAACCAAACTATTTTTAAAATACTCAAATAAAAAAATGATTTTTTTTCAATTAATTGTTTTTAAGTAATTTTTTTGAATAATTTTTTTATTCAAATAACTTTTATGTCAATTAATTTTTTTGTCAATTAATTTTTTTGTCAATTAATTTTTTAGGCCTGTATAAAAATTTTGTGCAATACATTTTTAATATTTTTCAAAAATTTTGTTCAAATCAACACGTTTGGAGATTACATGTTGATAAAAATTAACAAAAACCAGTTTATTAAATTTTTTTAAATACAAACCAAAACGTAAATGTTATCAAACATTATCAACATTTTTTCATTTGTTAAATTTTATTAATTTAATAAAAAATTCTTTATGTTGTACCGTTGCTTTAGGTTCATTATTGTCCCTCACTCCTACCTCTCACCCGTGAAGCTCATATTATTGGGGGCTATTGATTGATATTTGACTATAAAATGACTAATTTGCCCCTCTTTCATAGAATGTCAAATTACTATGTAAGTATAAAATGAAAAGGGTAACAGTGTAATTTCACTCATACAATAGACCTCCCTCTCTCCTCTGCTGGGTGTCAGTTGGTCACTGTTCGATAAAGGTTAAGAAAAAAGAAGCCAAAAATGAGTCACAGATTGTCAGTGATCAGTATACGAAAGAAATGAAAAATAAATAAAAAGTGCTATAAGGCAGTATTCAATGAAAAAAAAAAAAAAAAAAAAAAAACTTCTGGAACTGAGCCTTTATATAAGTCAACATCTTCATTGTTTAACTACACCATCTTCACCATCTCATTCCAACAACTTAAGTAACTTTTTCACCATACAATATCATAAATTCAGTGTAGATATCCGTGTAAAAAAAGAGAGAAGAGCTTTTGTTAGAATTTACCATCACCTACCACCACTACCACCTCACCTACTCCACTAAACCTAACCCACTCTACCACTACCACCTACCACACTTCTCCTACTCTCCACCTACTCCCAAACACACTCCTATATAATAGGAATCTTTGTAATTGTAATACACAACTATATCAATCAATAATACATATATTTTAACATGGTATCAGAGTAAGGTTGAGAAGCTAGTAATTCTGCTTCACCGGCGGGCGGCAGCCTCGCCTTGGCCGCCCGCCGGACCTCTACACATACCTCCACTCTACTCCGCTGCCAGAAAGTCATAGCTGAACTCTTCTCTGCCTCACACATATTTGTTCATCAATGGCGACATCGAGCCACCATCGTCTCCTCCTCCAAATCCCCCACTTCCTGTATTACGGAGAGTTTTCAAAACTTAATTCAACCTATAATTGATAATCAAACACACAACTCACAACTCGATATCCGTATTTTTGATCAACAGTCATAACCAAACTATTTTTAAAATACTCAAATAAAAAAATAATTTTTTTTCAATTAATTGTTTTTAAGTAATTTTTTTGAATAATTTTTTTTTTCAAATAACTTTTATGTCAATTAATTTTTCTGTCAATTAATTTTTTAGGCCTGTATAAAAATTTTGTGCAATACATTTTAATATTTTTCAAAAATTTTGTTCAAATCAACATGTTTGGAGATTACATATTGATAAAAATTAACAAAAATCAGTTTATTAAATTTTTTTAAATACAAACCAAAACGTAAATGTTATCAAACATTATCAACATTTTTTCGTTTGTTAAATTTTATTAATTTAATAAAAAATTCTTTATGTTGTACCCGTTGCTTTAGGTTCATTATTGTTCCTCACTCCTACCTCTCACCCGTGAAGCTCATATTATTGGGGGGCTATTGATTGATATTTGACTATAAAATGACTAATTTGCCCCTCTTTCATAGAATATCAAATTACTATGTAAGTATAAAATGAAAAGGGTAATAGTGTAATTTCACTCATACAATAGACCTCCCTCTCTCCTTTGTTGGGTGTCAGTTGGTCACTATTCGATAAAGGTTAAGAAAAAAGAAGCCAAAAATGAGTCACAGATTGTCAGTGATCAGTATACGAAAGAAATGAAAAATAAATAAGAAGTGCTATAAGTCAGTATTCAATGAAAGAAAGAAAAAAAAAAAAAAAAAAAAAACTTCTGGAACTGAGCCTTTATATAAGTCAGCATCTTCATTTGTTTAACTACACCATCTTCACCATTTCATTCCAACAACTTCAGCAACTTCTTCACAATACAATATCATAAATTCAGTATAGATATCCGTGTAAAAGAAGAGAGAAGAGCTTTCATAAGAGGTTAGTTTGAACCACAGTTTCTTATTCTTCATAGCTTCACAATTTTAGAGCTGAGCTGCAGAAAGCCGAGAAATCCATCAAATGGGACAACCAGCCGATCATCCCGCCGGTCAACCGGTTTCAGTCCCAACTTCACCAGTTTGCTTGCCTTTTACGCTCAGTTTGGCTATCTGTTGGTTGCCTTTTGCACCAGCAGCAGAGGCTTAGTTTACCTATCTGTTGCTTTTTTTTTTTTTTTTACACCATTTTCATACATTTTGCTATACACCTTTCATACATTTTTGATACATTTTTCTTAACTTTTGCCGTCATCATGCTGAGAACAAAAAGAGTGAGACCCGAACGTGGCGAAACCTCTAACCCTTCACAACGTCAACAACATCATCACTATCCAACTATTGATTTTCTCACATACAATCACGAACAAGCTTATTCAAATTTTGTTAATCAACCAATTGTTACGGGGAGAATGGTAAATCTATCTTCTCAATATGGTCCACTGTTGCTTGGCAGACTGGATACGATTGGATGTTTACCTTTAACTAATTTAATACATAAGGTATATTCATGTCTTATATATTTATTTTACTTTCACTTGAGATCTACTGAGGGACAAGTGGAACAATGTAGTCTGACCTTTTATATGAAAGGTAAAGTAATCACACTAAACCCTTACACTTTCGCACAAATTATTGAAGTTTAGACAGGGGATTTGCAATGCCATTTTCAAACTGAATCTCAGTTAGCTAACATTGTTGGTGATCTAACTGAGGTTTATACCACAATTTGTGAGAATCGATTTACCGGCACTAATTAACAAGCAAGACATTTAA